CAGGGCTGGAGGGAGCAGTTCACATCCCAGGGATTGGGCAGAGATTGCACTGGGAAAGAGGATCCTGGCCAGAGCCAGGACCCCTGGGTTTGGAGCTGGGTGCCCAGCACACCCGTAGGGCTCAGCCTGGTGTGCAGGAACAGGATGCAGGGCTGCAAGTACCATGGCCAAACTGCACTTTAGGGCGGAATGTGGTCCTGCCACTCAAATAATGCTGATAAAAATGAATTGTGGACAAAACTACTTCTGTAACACTTTCTAAAGAAGAGTTATGTTTCCCAATGCTGGGCAGGGTGCCATCAGAGGCAGCTGAATGAAGCCTAGCAACCCATGGGCTGCAATTATTTTATTATTTTAGTATTATTATTATTAAATGAAGAGTATTAAATATGGCATTGGCTATGTTATGCAAGTTTTCTTGTATCCTAACTCTCTTAACACTAAAAACCTGAAGGCATTTCTTGCATGGCATTATTATGGGTCCCTCTGTGCCTTGTTGGTAGTGGTGGTTGAGGTGTAGCTCACTGCTACGTTCCAAGTGTCTCTGGTGAAAGGTGGCATTCCCAGTGCACCCAGTTTGAAAATGAGGTTGTCATGAGAAGCAACCTGCTGCCCATCTCCCGTGTCCTGGTCCAAGATGTTTTTTTTCTCTTTTGGAGGCAAATTTCTGCTCCAGAATCCACCTGAGACTCCTCCCAGGCATCTCCTGAAGTGTTTTCCCATCACCTCTTAGGAGCTGAGATTCCCAGGTAGGAGCCCCAGACTCCTCCAAGGAAGGCACCCAAGATGATTTTTCTCTTTTCATGAAACCTTCTGTGTCCTGGCACGAGGAGATAAAACTGGGAGGCAAGTGCTTATAGCTCTGAGCAGTAGGAATCATTGGAAGCATCCAGTTTGTTCTTAACTGGTCATTTAGTATCTCCTTGAAGATGATGACTTTTGGTTACTGCTGGATTTGTATTAACAGGCCACTCTTTCCAGCTCCAGCTTCTCAGTGGACTTGCAGTTAAGGTGCTCTGCTCTATTGCCAACAGTGAATGTCAAAATTTAGATAAGACCTCTCAAAAAAACACCCACAAAACCCCAAACCCACCACACATAAATTAAAATTATATTGTATAAAAAAGTTTGGAAGGTTTCTGAGATCTTACAGGTATAGAAGCCATTCTGGCATGAGTCCTGCCAACATATTTCTTACAGAGTTGAGGTTTTCTTCTCAGCTCGTGGCTCTCAGGAAATAGGAGGATGTGATGAGATTCATAATAAATTGTACAAGCTGGCAGTGCCATCCATGAAAAAGTAACACCTTCTTGGGATCTTGGCAGGAGGTTGTGTTTCTTTCCACTGGGTCCTTCCCAGTTAGCAAACATTTGTTCTCCATGTTTGCTCAGAGCCAGAGATCCCACAGCTGCTTTGGGGTCTGTCCCAACTTGCTGCCTGCATTTATTTTTCTTACTCATTTTCATCTTGCTAACATGGGACCCATGTGACCTCTGGGCACGTTTACAGGTTTGAAAATAATGTTGTAGGGCAAAAATAACAAACCAGAGCGAGTCTGGCTCCTCTGGAAGAGATGTAGTAAAAGAATTCTATTTTTAAGTAAATTCTCTGTAAAAAACTACATTTCAGGGGGTGTTTTTGCCCTTGTATCTTTTGCTTGGACCCAGATACACAGTAGCATGTCCCATGGAGAGGTGCAGTTGTGGAGGCACAGCTTGGTATCCATTAACCCTGATGTCCTTAGGACTCTCCCTCTGAATGGGGTTGGCAGCATCCATGTGCTTGTCCATTGGTGCCAGGAAAAGTCACCTCCTGTGGCACGAGATGGGGTCTTACCTGTTCTGTGGCTTGGAGTTTGTCACCTGCAGAGAAAGGCGTCTGATGGAGTTCGTTTGACTTCATTGCCAGAGTTCATGGGAATTTGGGCACTTTGCTCTGAGGGTCCCTTTCCCTTTCCCTGTCCCTTCCCCTCTTGCCCTTCCCCTTCTCTTCTTCCCCTTCCCTTTGCCCTTTCCCCATTGCCCTTCCCCTTTCTTCCTTCGCTTTCCCCTTCCCTTCCTCTTCCTTTTCCTCTTTCCCCTTCCCCATTCCCCATTTCCCCTTCCTTTCTGCCTTTCCTCTTCCCCTTCCCTTTTCTCTTTCCCTTCCCCTCCCCTTTTCCTCTTTCCCCCTTTCCCTTCCCTTTTCCTTCCCTCCTCAGGTTCATGCTCATTTCATGCAGGAGAGGGTGAGAATCAGCCACAGCCACTGATTTGTTTAATAGGCTGCCTCTATTAACCAAAGAATAATAAAATTAGGTAATTACATCAGAGCAAAAGGATGATTAAGACAACTGCACAAGAGTATTTTCCTTTCAAATTAGGACTTGAAAGTGATACCTGCCACCTCACATGTGCACACTGTTCAGTGCAGGTTGGATCAGTTTTGGGGGTACAGAGGGTGATGAATGTCTGCACCAAGTGTGAAACCAAAGCAGAAAGAGAGGAAGTGTTTATAACCAAAGGGAAATATTAAAATGTCTGTTTCTACCGTAAATCTACCTGGAATGATGGGGTTGATTGTTTTGAAGTGCATTCTGTAGCAAAACAATAATGAGAAGAGGGAGAGCACATTACTTATCTGCTCTACCTGGCTGGTGTATAACAGGCAAACATCTAATTGAAAAAATATCCTGATGGGAGAATTTCTAATAAATTTGTTTTCACCCCCATAGCCTGGAGGAGAGGGGGAAAAAATCCAATCAGCAGTGGGGAAGTTCCAAAGTTTCCATTGCATTTCGAGTCTTGATTTTCAGGCTCGCTGCTCAGCCTGGCAATCAGAGGAACAGTAATTCTGAACGCAGGATTCATTACAATTGTTATGAAGGCATCAAGGGCAGAAGGAAGCGTGGAGTGGAGGTAGGGGAATAGTAGAAAGCCATAAAAAGAAATACCTTCTGACAAACAGAAGGATACGGAGAAAGAGGGTGCTTGTCCTGCCCTGGACCTCCCCTGTAAAGGATATTTTTTGCTTGCCAGATGTAACTCTCCAGGTGACTTCTGTTTTCTGGAGAAAAAGGTTGCAGCCGGGTGGGAGTTGGTCTCTTCTCCCAAGAAACAAGTGACAGGAAGAGAGAAAACTGATCCAAGTTGTGCCAGGGGAGGTTTGGATTGGACATCAGGCAAAGTTTCTCCACTGGAAAGGTAGCCAGGCTGCTCAGGGCAGTGGTGGAGTCCCCATCCCTGGAGGGATTTAAAAGCTGTGTAGATGTGGCACTTGGGGGCACGGTTTAGAGGTGGCCTTGGCAGTGGTGGGTTAATAGTTGGACTTGATGGTCTTAGAGGGCTTTCCCAACTTCAGTAATTCTGTGGTTATCTCTCCATTGACCTGTGCCACCTCTTCTTCCAATTCAGCCATGTGTGCTGGGGTTGGTGGGGTTGTCAGAGGGTACAGAGCTGGTTGTGGGCTGTAGAGCAGGTTGAGCCAGCTGGAACTGCACTGGCAGGAGCTGGCTGGGCCAATGATCATTTAACAGGTGGAGGGACATTCAGTTTAAAGTGGGTGGCACCTGGCTGCCTTCTGGGAGAGCTGTGAGCCCACAGTGCTGCTGATAGTCGCTGCATCCCACAGCTCCTGACAGATTTAACAGAATCCAGCATTTGCACAGGGATCCCTTTCCACCCTGCTGCAGCTGCTCCTGGCATTAGTTAATGAGTGTCACAATACCTGCTCCAATTTTGCAGCTTTTAATTGGTTTGCTCTGCTATCCCAAAGGATAGTTTGGCAATTAGAGGGTGTCTGAGGGCAAGCAGAGCAATGTTACCCCCACTTGGCTTTACTAACTCTGCCGACTTTAATAGCTAATCCTGTAGCACTCCGAGAAATGGAAGTGTAATTAATTGTCTAGGCTGAAAATCTTCACCTGGTTTTATTTAGATTTCTCTTTTATTGCTCTTAATACAGCCAATTTCTGTTAAGGCATAACTGGTATCAGCTTCAAATCAGAGACTGAGAGGACATGCAAGGGTGAACAACCTTCAATTCATCATCCTGCTCGTAAGGGCAAGAGGGTTGGTTCTTCCCCTTGTTAAGTACAAGGTGTCACTCACAGCTGGTACCTCCATCCTCGTCTCGGGAGTGTTTTATGGCACAGCCCGCTTTATTGACATAATTAATTTGTGAACTTAGCCTTGAGGACTGGCCCCAGCCATACTCAGAGCCAGAGACAATCCTGGAGGGCTTTTTTCCTTCCTTTGGAATCGGGGCAAGTGAAAAGCTCCCGTTGTAGCTAATTAATGAGACGAGTTGTCGTTCTCCACGGGGGTTTTGTAGCCTGGTAAATGGATTAGCAGCTGGGAGCTGGGTGTTTTCTGGAGCTAGGGCTGCTCGGCCTCCTGCCCAGCCCTGTGGAGCCACAGTCCTGGCAGAGCAGGCAAGGGAACAGGAGGTGGGGAGAATGTGTTCTGGCAGCCAGAGTGTGCAAACAGCAGCAAAATCAAGGTGGGAAATCAGGCTTTGCATACAGACCCCCCCTGTACGCTCCAGAGTGGTGCCACGTTGCTGTGGTAGCTTTGCTTGGATGCTGAGGGGTACACAGAGGTTGTGGGAGAGCGTTGAATGGGACCTGCCTGTCTTGGAAATTTCCATTAATGGAAGTTGGCTTTTTACAGCTGATTAATGGTCTAGTAGGAATTTTAGCAAGGAGGTTTTTTTTGGGTGATCCTTGCTGCAGGGCACATCTGTGGGTTTGCACACGTTTGGCTTATTTGTTTGAACTTGAGTGGTTCATTCCTTATTTCACTGAAAAAAATGCCATAACTGTGCTGTGTTACCATGTCCCGTTGCAATAACCAGGATGTGAGTGTGCTCATACATGCTCCAGAGTTTTAAAGGAGCAGCTCAGGATTTTCCTCTGGGAATTGTAGCTCTTGATGTGAAGAGGCAGGAAGGCATTTGGGATGCACATGACTGTGGTGTGCAGATGGCATTTCACTGACTCTAACTTTCTTTTGCCTCTCTAGTTTGATGGAGAGAACATGTACATGGGGATGAATGACAACGCCCAGGAGTTTCTATCTGCCAATCAGGTAAGTGTTGGTTTGCTGGGGTGGGAGAATGGTGAGGTTTTTAGGGGAGTTAGGCTGTGCCCCAGCACAAATTCTAGGAGCTCTCTGTGAATGTTCTGCCCTGGAGCATCAGGAGTCAGTCCATGGGAAAGGTCGGCCTGGCTGCTGCCAAGGAGCAGTGTTGGATGCTCTCGGTACATGGAGTGGGATGCACTTGTGTGCCAGGGCTGCTGTGAGTCACCAGAGCCTGGCTTAGCCACAGCTCTGCCACCAGAGAGGCTGAAAAGCTTTGCCTCACCATCCTTCACTCCGAATGAAGATGCATTTGGTGTTTCTGGACGCAGTGAAGTTTCCAAGTATTGTGTTTAGCTCAGGTGTCTCCTTCCCTCATTTGGAGTATTTCCTGTAGCTAAATAGATTAACAGTTAGGGGAGAAAAAGGAATCAAAGGTTTCCTGTTTTGGAGCTGTAAATCCACATGTGGAGGACCAGAATAGAAGGTGTCTTGCAGGTGCCTGAGCCTTCTCTGGGCTTGGGTGCACATGGAACAGGCATGTCCACTCACTGAAGCCCTAAACACATATGTGGGTTGGAACAAGGTGATCTTTAAGGTTCCTTCCAACCTGAACCATTCTGTGATTCTATAAAGTTAAGCCCATGCTTAGGTCCTGCTGGGAGGGAAGGACTTCAGCACGTGCCTACCTGTCCCCCTGACCAGGAGATAAGAGCTGGTCCTGTGTGCATCCCCTCTGTGGTGATGTGCTGTGGGTTACCAGGCGAGTCATCCATGGTGAATCGAACTCCAATAACAGTGGGGATTAAACTATGGATATTACACTGGAAACAGGATGAAAACCTGTAGTTCACCTCCTTAGAGCGTGGCAGTGTGTTGGCTCATTTCTTGGGAGAGTTGTTCCTGCTCTGGCTTTGGAAGCAGGCACTCGAAGCCCGTGCTGCTGCAGACTGGGGAGAGGCTGTTCGTGCGTGAGAGGCATTTCCAGGGTGGGGAAGGAACAGCAAACTTTGGGCTGTTGAGTGATTCAGCAGAAACAAATATGTAGTCAATCAACAGCGGCGTGTGGTTGATCATTAGAGCCAGGAATTGCCAGAGGTTGAGTAAATACAGAAAGGAACAGGGTGAGCCCAAGCTGTCCCCACCAGGGGTCAGCCCTGTCCCCCTCCCCAGGCTGAGCAGAGCCTACGAGCAGGTGGTGGATGCTCATGGGGCACTTACTTAGACACTCTGCTTTTAAAAACCCCCAAGGGACAACTATTTGACAGCCTCATCAGGAAGGGTCATCAGTGACCAGCTACAGTCCCTGGTCATGATGTTCCTGCAGGATCAAACTGGTCTTGGGCAGAGCCATGGCCAGCATGAACCACTTGTGTTTCCTTCTCGGCCCCTGTCACATCCCACTTCCCCCATGGGTGGGCAGAGGAGGGGAGTCAGAAGTGATGCTGCAGCGTTTGGAATAGTTTGCTGCAGCACAGTTGAGGAGGAGAGTTGGCTTCCAAAGAAAAACAAAGGTTGTCATGTGGTGGAGGATTTATGTAGTGGGTTTGATCCTGGAGAAGGATCGACCAAACCAGCTTAGATCCCTGTAACCTGGGAAATAGGAGTTAATTCTTATTTATTCTCTATTTACTTTGGCGTAGCAATTAAGGATGAAAAGGGAAGAAGTATCTTGGCAGAGGAGGGGCAGGTACCCCCTGTTACAGGGATAGTTGTGTGCCTGGAGGATGTATTGCTGCTTTCTCCATCAGCAAAAGCACCGTAGGGAGTGACTTGGAAAATAGATGGGGAAGTTTGTCTTGTCTTGCATCTCCAGTGGTCCTCCCTGTGCTGGTTTTCTTGGGACAGTCAGAGGGGAACTGGGAGTGGGACCAAGGGGTACAAGGGCAGAGGGTGGCACCTGGGGCTCTGTTGGGATGGGTGCCCCTGTGGGATACTGCAGTGCCCCCCCCTAACCTTGTCTGGGGTTACAGGAGGGTAGTGGGAGGGAAGGTGAGGATCCCAGTTCACACCCTGAGGTGTGTTAATGGTGGTTCACACCCAGCATGAGCTTTGGCCCAGGAGGATGGGGAGCAGCCTTCCTCCTCACCCTCACTAGCTCATCCTCTTCCTTTATTCACCTGCACATCAGGGCCTGTTTACCAGGGAGCACTTTATAGCCCCAGCCATGCCTTCAGTATAATAACACAACTCTGCTGTTTAAATGGGGGCTCCAGGTGGATTTTTATTGTTTGCTAAACCTGTTGTAACCTGAAGGAGTACATTAAACAGCAGGAGTGGGGTTTCACAATCCCTCTTCAGAGGCTGCTAAACCACCAGCCCTGCACAGCACACATGGGATGTTGCTCAGAAGGTTGGGATCTGTGGGGACAAAGGCAAATCCTACAGACCCAGTACTGGAACTGTCACACTGGAATAGGATGGGCCTGGTGGGTTGGGTTCTTTTCCCCAATCAAGATCCTGCAGCCCCCTGGCAGCAGCCTTATCTTAGCCCGCTGTCTAGTTTTTGATCTTGAGGAGGTTCTGTTAAGCCTGGAGGAGAGAAGACTCCAGGGAGTCCTTAGAACCTTAGAAGAGAACTTAGAACCCCTTCCAGTGCCTAAAGGGGCTCCAGAAGAACTGGAGAGGGGCTTGGGACGAGGGCCTGGAGTGGCAGGACAAAGGGGGAACGGCTTCCCACTGACAGAGGAGAGGGTTGGATGGGATATTGGGTAGGAATCCTTCCCTGTGAGGGTGGGCAGGCCCTGGCACAGGTTGCCCAGAGAAGCTGTGGCTGCCCCTGGATCCCTGGATGTGTCCAAGGCCAGGCTGGACAGGGCTTGGAGCAACCTGGGCTGGTGGAAGGTGTCCCTGGGCAGGGGGTGGAATGGGATGAGTTTTAAGGTCCCTTCCAAAACAAAGCTTTCCAGGTTTCTCCAGTTTCTCATGGCAAGAATGTAGTAAAGCTGTGATCAGGGTTCACTTGCCTTTCCTTCATTACCCCCTGCCCTGCACAGCTGCTAACTTGGGGGGAAGAAGAAAAAACAAAACACCCCAAACCCCTCATAAAACCCAAACAAAGCACCATCCAAAACATGTGAAAGCAGGTGACCTGCTCCTTCCCCTCATCTTCCTCGTTAGGATGGCTTTTGTGTTATGGCTGCAGTTCTTGTCATCCCAAAGGGGTTGGTCTCAGCTGAGGATGAAATGCAGAAATAAAGGAACCAAAAAACATAATGAGAGTGCTGACTGATCCAGGCTCACACCAGAACAACCTGCTTGGGGAAAATAATTCCTCTTGTTCTAGCAAATAGGAGGGACATTTGACCCCAGAAGTGAGTCAAATGTGAAATGTAATTCAACCCCAGCAGAGGCCAGAGTATAAATGCAACCTGACATCTGATCAAACCATCGCAGACATTTGACCCCCGAGATGAGTGAGGTATCTCTTGTGTCTCATGGAGTTGGCAGAGCATCATTCCTCACCCCTGTCAATTTTCTTTCTTTCTTTCCCACTCCTCTCCCCAAACAAAGGCAAGGAACTAAGTAATGCAGAAAAATCCCAAGGAATGGACAGATTCCCAACCATATGATGTGCTCTGAAAGATGAGTAAAAATGTGATGGTGCTGGTGAAAGAAATAAAAACACATGCAAAGTCAGTAAGAAAAGACATTTATTAAGGCCTTTTGTGGTAAGGACAGTAACACTAGGAAAGGGAAAGACTGGGAAATTCCACATGTTGTTGGACAGGAATGAGGTTGGTTTTGTTTGGCATCAAGACTTTTGCACTTGCAGGAAGAGTCCATGGGTGCTTTATAAAAATGGATTAACTCCAGCTGGGAGTACCCTGCAAGAAGGTATCATCCTTTCACATTCTGGGGGAATAAATGCAGGAGATGCCTTGCTGGGGAGCTGGGGGTGATGTGATGAGGGTGTGGGAACCGCCAGACCCTGGCACAGCTTTGGGGACTGTTATCCCTTGGCTTGCTGGGAGCAGGGATGTGACTCTACCCAGTCCATGGGGGGATATTTTGGAAAGCTTTAGGGTGGTGTTTGTCATGTTTCTCCTCTCTCCATGAATATCCCTGGCTGCTGGCAGGGCAGCTTTGAAGGAGGAAAGAGCTGAGTATTTATCAGTGGACAGTTTGGATCCTGTGCTCTGACTAATCCCAGGAGCTTTCAGTGGGCAGCTTATTCCAGCTGAGCAATCTGCCTGTTTCTGTACCAACAAGTTAATTTGTGTGATTCCTCATGGGAAGGCTGTTAGACATCACTATGGTTTATTCAGGCCAGGGAGATGCATCGGCATAAACAGCTCTGGGCTTTCAACAGTCCTTATCAGACCCTTCCAACCCGAACCGCTCTGGGATTCTGTGACTGAAAAAGCAGGATTTCACCCAACCCTGGTGAGGCACCTGATGCTGATGATGTCAGGTGTCTCACCTGGAGTGTGGAGCAGCAAGAAGGTCTTTAATTTGGGCTGTGGGCCTTAGGGCAAGACTGGGTAACTTGTGAATGGGGCTGCTCACACTTAGAATGTAAATCCAAGGGTGTAACCGTGTTTGTGTGGGGCAGCACATGTGTGAAATAGAAGGTGGGTTTTCTCTGGCTGTGTGTGAATCAGGGAGCCCCAGTGAGTGCAGGGGTTGTGCTGACACCCCGAGGGAGATGGAGCTGAGAGAGATGATATTTGTAATGTGCACACACGTACACAGCCATCTGTCTTGATGTGCCCCTGTATAAATGTCAGTGTGGGGTTAGACATGCCTGCCCCTTTCCACACACACAAAATCCATCTGTGGATGTATCTGTGTGCTTGGATGTGTATAAATCAACATTTATCTACTGTATCTATTGCCCTTTATCTCTTTACCTCCATATATCTCCGAGCTGGGGTCTGTATTAGCCATAATAGATACAGTAAGTCGCTGATCTGGTGGGTCAAATGGTCAGGGCTCTTTGATCAGCCGTCAGGATACATTACCACCGGGGCCTCCGGTGGGGCTGGAATTACAACTTACATTTGACT